TATATATATATATATATATATATATATATATATATATATATATATATATATATATATATATATATATATATATATATATATATATATACTGTATAAATGAAGATACGTTCGCAGTGGATTGTCCTCAAAGTTTAAAGGGGCACTTTTTGCGCGTGTACTCGCTTTGAGCACCTGCTTCAATACACTTTTTTATCAAAATATTTCTAATGTGTCATTATCTCAGAGAAAGCAATCGCTACAAGCTTGATATTGTATTTAAAACCAGTTTGGGGAAGAACACCAACAGGATATGACACAAAAAGGAAAATAAAAACCTTATATTTTTTTTTTCAATCCACTGCATGCGGCAAACAAATTTGACAAATTGAGTCAACATACTTCATTCACCTGTCTTTAAAGTAAGTTTCCACATCAACAATCATAATTTAAATAGCTACAGTGATATTTTGCCCTAAAATCTATCAGAGTATCACAATAGGGCATGACTATTAAACTATTCCTTAATTTACCACTGACTGCAAACAATCATAATTTTCCATATAAGTTGCAATAATAGTTGTTAACGCGGGTGGGATGAAGTATTGCTGTATTATTATATTAATAAATATTGTTTGAAGAGGATAATAATTTAGAAATCAATCTATGAATATGAACAAAATTTATTCATGTTGTCGTGATGCCAACGTTTTTATCACTTGATGACAGCGATTGAATAACACTTGTCACATATTTGTTTTAATTAACATTGTCTATATTCCTGACATTGATACTCTGCGACTCTGTATGCTTCAAAAATATTTAAAACACAACTTAAATGTCGTTACTGGCCACAAAGTTTAAAAACATACTTTTCTGCTTTATTATAAATGCGTCCAAAAACCTGTCAATAGCTTTTCATGGCACTAAACCGATTAGTATACTTACAATGACAATGTCTTTACCGCCCAATTCTGTCGGTACGATATGTTCCAACGCTTCTTTTAATTGAATATTCTCTTTGGTAACTGCATCAAAATCTTTTCTTGAAATCCCAGGATTGATTACATCGATTTCAAAAGTCGTTTGGGGGCCAAGTTTCTTGTTCAAATATGCAATCCTCGCCTCTGCTCGCCTCAAAGCCGTTTCATAATTGTCCGCCCTTGTCTCCAAACCCTGCCGTTTCTCTTCCAGTTCATTACAAATTCTTGTCAGGTCTTCTACTCCTTTCAGCCGTTCATCTTTAGCCAACAGTTCTCTATGTTGAAGAGCTATGATACGCTTAAGATCATCCGCTTTGAGTTCTTTTAAGTTTTCTAGAGGTCGACCTTTCATACTTTGTACTCCCGACATTGTGGACATTAATCCTGTACGGCAACGATGAAATGCGCAATGGGTACAGCCGTTTTCATATATGATACACTTCAGCAGATGGGCGGTTACTAATGTCTAATGTATTATTAATACTACTCTGCGACTCTTTATCCTACAAAAATATTTAAAACACAACGTAAATCATGGCCACAAAGTTTAAAATATTAATTGTACAGTTTGTACTTCGAATATTTAAAAGGTTAAAAAAGGCTAAGACTTAAAAAGGAAAATGAAGAAACCTGTAGGTAGAATCTGCAAGACTTCAGTACAAAGGGAAATTCCCTTACCCAGAATTCCGCGCGGTTAGTAAACCGAAATTATTGATTTCATGTATTTTCAAATACATGCATATATAAATATCGTACAATTCTAAAATTCGTTTAAATTGAAACTTTAAATTCTAATTGCTATATATAAAATTGTATCGAAATTCGTAGTTTGGGAAGTCTAGAATATATACATAAAGTACTCCGGCTTTTGGCTGACGCCAACAGGTTATTAGGGCAGTTTCTTTGGAAACCGAAATAATGCATGCCCATTGTGTTGCCGTGACATGTCAGAATCTTTCGATACCGATTCAGCCATATTACACAGACGTGCCGGGGCACCATATCCACATGTCACATGTGTATATAGTGTACACACGTCTGTGTAATATGGCTGAATGTATCGAAAGATTGTGAAATTATTCGTTTAAGTTGAAACTTCTGAATTCTATTAAAGTGTTTAAATTGTTACAAGTTAGAACATTATTTATTTGGGTGTCTATTATTTAAATATACATCAACCACTCATTCAATGGCTCTACGGAATCGAGTTACCTCACCCCCGTATCGCTTTCCCGAGCAAACGCCGAGTCAGTATCACGCTAAATGCGCCTCTAGTCCGCCGAGCCGTGAACGAGCAAAATCAGCGAACTCGAATATTTCGCCAGCGACTTAAGGCCCGGTCACACTACACAACGATAACGATACGATAAATTGTAAACACGCGATAATTGGCAAAAAAATTGTGTTAGTGTCAACACTACAACGAAAATGATAAAATTATCGTTAGACGATAACGATTTTAAAATCGCTCACGTATCGTTATCGTTGTGTAGTGTGATCTGGGCTTTATGATCAATTTCAAAAGGGTAGCACCGTCGTTCAGGACGAAATATGGAAAAATTCATGTACTAAAGAGAAACATCAACAAATGAAATGATAAAATTATTCAAAGCTTATTTATTATTTCTTAAATCTTTTAGACAACGTTCACACCAGACAGGACGATTTCGAAACCGTAAGCAAAATCGTGTGATTCCGTTCGTTCATAGGCCATAGGCTGTGCGGCTCTGGTAAGTGTGGTTCTGGTAGAATTTACCGGTTTCATGGCCCTCATTGTGAACGCAATTTCAGTATACCCGATTCTTGTATCAATATTTACATATAGCTAGCAGGTGGCATATGCATGACTCTTCATTAGCGATCATTTGGATCACTTGGTGATTTTCGGCTCAAAAATGGTAACAATTTCCGCTCGTAATACAAATATACTGAAAATATGCATACTTTACAAAGCTATATTTTCCAAGCTTTACAACATTTCGCAACCAAATTTTGCACTTTTACTAATTTCAGTATATTCTTTTCAGCTGTGGTGTTTCATTCCCTTTTCTCTGCTTAGATTAAAATTTAGTCTAACATGCAAGTTGTCCATTATATACTTCGAAATGGAAATTACAAGTTAATCTAAAAAACCCGAAAATTCGGGACACAGTCCCAAAGACTACAATTTATCCGCCAAGTGGTTCTTCGGGGACAACTGAGCCACTGGATTGTGTTAACAAATATACGTATTTGGGATTAACTTTTCATTGTGCTTGTAACTTTAAGATAGCGATAATAATAACGGCTTACCGACCGAGCGTGAGGTCTGTACTGTGAAATATCAGACCGAGGTTTTTTAATAGTATGCAAAAAAACAGAGGTCTGATATTTCACAGTACAGACCGAACAAGCGAGGTCAATAATCGGTTTATTATATGGCTGAACTGAGTCTGTGACAGCGAATTAAATTGGCTATTGTCAGTTTCACTGGGTAACAATATACGGTAGGCATGCATGCTCAATCAAAAACAATTTTGTTGTTTGAAATTTTTATCTGTAAAGCAAAATTGGAAATATAAAAAGCAAAAATTTTTCTGTTTGCAAAGCAAAAATTTCCCGCCAGATAAACGACATCCGGGACACCGGTCCAGATACGGAGATACGGACCACGTCCGGATATGGGTTTTTACCGACCGCTTGTCAACCAATCAGAATAGAGAATTTTGAAAAGCCATGTATTCATATAATTATAATGATGTTATACTGATACAACAAGGCATTACGAGCAGTTACAATTGCGTAATGCACAAACTTTCAAATGCAAAGAATATACCGATTAAAAAACATTACTGAAACTATTTTATTCGGTAGTGGTTCCAGTTTTGTTATATGGTTGTGGAATCTGGGGTGTATGTTTATTGAATATTAGGTAAAATCTCTTCGTTTGAACTTTTTCAAAATAAATTTTTCAGTGTGGTAAGGGACCGGTCATTATTTATGGTGGGGGGTGGCACCGAAGAGAAATGTTTTTTGTGGCAAAAATTTTGCTGACCCAACCATTAAAAAGTCAAAAATTTGATTACCCAACCTCAAATATCAATTAAAAAATAAATACCCACCCCTGGCCAAAACCTTTACAAATTGAAAACCATTCAGTTGTCACACGTGTCCTTTACCATTTTTGTGACATGAGTTTGATAACGGCTTGTGAAATTTTCTAAAGTTTCATGTTGTCTGCAACAAATCGGACTGAAATGATCAAGATAGTGACTCTGATTGATTCACATATTGTATTGACATATCACTGTTGACATTGCTTTTCAGTCTCCAATATTTCAGTGAGTCATGCTTTGGAAATGACAATACGTTTTTTGATTACCCAACCCTTGAGTTGTTTTGTTTTTCATTTACCCAACCTATTACTCACTCAAAATTTTGTTTACCCAACCCTTTTCTCTTCGGTGCCACCCCCTGCCATAAATAATGACCGGTCCCTAAATAAAAGACTCGGAGTTCACTCAAAAAGTACAAATCTAGCAGTATATGGTGAACTAGGTAGAGTCCCTCTAATAGTACAGATCTCTACTCCAGGATACGAATTGAAGCTCCGGGATGAATACTTTTGTATAAGATGAATACTTCTGTATTTCCGCTTTCCCGTTGCTTAATTAAGAGCTCCCTCTAGAGGCAAGGAGAAAAGCTCGGAGAACAGATGAACTTGCTCTATTAATTTATTGCCACAAGGTGTTCCTACGTTTCCGACAGGGCGTTGTAAAACACAGCCGGTTTTACAGCTACATCCTATGACAAGCAGTTGCCATAATCACCCGATATATTTATAGTTTAATTAAAAGCGTCATATGAAACGTCGAAAAGAACCTTATATTCTTCAGGTTTATTCCTACCAACGAGAACTTGTTACTATACCTCTAAACTGGCACAGACACTGGTTTTAAAATGAATCAGCTCACGTAGCTACTCACGTATTGTGTCTGTATTGAAGTGCCAAAGTGCAATTAGGTTTATTTTCCGTCACGTTCGAACTTCGAACTAAACCTCACGAACTATCGTAAATCGTAATCTTACCTCAAACGTGAGTTCTGTGTAGGAGTATAGCCTATATAGGAGTTCTACAATGATAATAAACTAGCTGCGTAGTTTGTACCTGAATTCCCCTTAAAAAATTATTCCAAACGTGGTGTAATAAAAGCTGTCGTGGTTTGTGTGATTGTGTCTGAACTATACCTGAAAAACTAAATATCTCAAACATGGTGACTGGTGGTTCACCGACACTGTATAGTGTAGATATAGTATTCTACAATACTGATAAAGCTGCCATGGCCCATGATAAAATACTTGGACAAATTTCGAGATTGATTCGAGCGAAGCTGAAGGGCTCTCGTCACAATTAGGCCATATAAAAAAAAATAGTTGGTTAGCGTCCTTAGCTTTGGCCAAAATTTGGGCGGGCGGGCGCTTTTTTTTTAAACTTTTATACTAATTTTTAACGCCTTGGTTTTACTCACTGTTAGGTCCGAAACTGGATTTTCTTGCGCAGTACAGATATTTTTTTATCAAAATATAATTCATACCGTCATTTTCGCATGCAATTTCGCAAATTATTAACACAATTGACTACAGTCAACAGAAATACTACATATATTAGAGCCCGTTGATCAATAAATGTCGGGTTTTTTTAAATAAAAAATAAAAAAAAATCCTGAGCGGGGCCTTTTTTGTGGGCGGGCGGGGACGCTAACCAACTATTTTTTTTTATGTGGCCTTAGGTAAACACATTGGACGGGAAAAAAACATGCACTCGGGCACACTTGGTGTGACATGGCATGCAACATCAGCACCAGTGCTAGTGAGTAGTGGTGTAATCGTGCTTGAGATCATGCTGATGTACTTCCGTATTTTTATCTGAAAAACTTGCAATTACATCACTTTCTAACTTTCTAACAAAATCCAGTGAACTAATCAAGTTGCGGCAAACTATATAATATATATTGCTGAAGTATCGGAATATTTTCCGCGAATTTATATTCAATCACGTTCCCAAGCTCTTTCCTCCTATGAAGGTTGATTTATATTTGGCATATTCGTTCTTCCTTATTTCTTTAGAAAGCGGCAATCAAAATACTAAAAAAGCTATAACTGAACGGAACAATTCCTTCACATCTATTGATAAAAACTCTCATTTTTAATAAATTTTATTCTTCTATTTTTAAGTCGAAAAGTTTCGTGTGGCGAATCGAAAGCAGTAGGGACTAAAGAGGAGCTATAAGCAATTAATTATTATATACCGCCAACCGGTTATGAGCCAGGGACAGTTTCTTTGGAAACCGCCGGAATGCCCATTGTGTTGCCATGACATACGGATATAGTATACATGGACGTCTGTACAATATAATGGCTGAGTATCGAACGATTCTAAAATTGATCGTTTAAATTGAAACTTCTGAATTCTAAGTGGTTATAAAATTCATAAATTGTCACAAAAGAACATTGCTTTTAGGGGTTCTAAACTTATACATCAATCTCATTCAATGGCTCTACGGAATCGAGTTACTTCAGCACCGTATCGCTTTCCTGAGCAAACGCCGAGTCAGTATCACGCTAAATGCGCCTCCAGTCCGCCGAGTCGTCAACGAGCAAAATCAGCGAACTCGAATATTTCGCCAGCGACTTATGATCAATTTCAAAAGGGTAGCACCGTCGTTCAGGACGAAATATGGAAAAGTTCGTGCACTAAAGAGAAACATCAACAAATGAAATGGTAAATTATTCAAAGCGTATATTATTTTTTAAATCTTTTAGACAACGTTCATCCGTTCAATAGACAGTTTTAGATAACAAGACGGGGACGTCAAGAGGACGTGGATGTCGTCATTTGGCGCCAACTATCGTCAGCTTCTGGTTTGCGACGTCGTCTTGGACGATTTCACGACGCGAAAATACAATTTTCACGTCCTCTCTAGAAC